TTCCACAGAACAAACCTCCTCAGAAGTTATAAAGCTTTCACCGGGTGGAACCACAGCGAGGCATCGTGGCTCCTACAGGAACTCCAGCCGAACTTCATCAGTACCAGAGGAACTCAGAACTTCTGTTCTCTCTCGGAACTTCTGTTCATCCTCCAGAACTTCGGATCACTTCTGCTCTCAGAACTTCGGTTCATGTCTCAGAACTGACTGGAACTAGGAAGTGTCGACATTTAAAGAGTTCTGTTTCCGGTCCCATTTGGGAAGTCCTGATTGGTTGGAAGAACCAACAGGGGTGTGGTTTTAGTGACGTAAGAGGGTTACTACAAGTCAGAAAAACAGCAGAGATGTTTTAGGAACAGACAGAGAAATGTTTAGGAGCAGACAGAGAAATGTTTTGGCGAAATGACAGACCCCAGGTGCCAGCTTCTCTATTTCTGTCTGAGAGGTTTCAAAACATGACAGTTCGTTCCAATAAACTTGTTTGCGACTGTCTCCAACCTTTGACTGACATCACTCCTTCTCATTTCAGACAGAAGATCAAAAAATGCATAATTACTTTGTAACAGATATCTAACTTGATTTCTACTTTGAATGAGGACTAAAAAATCATTAATACTGTTTCACAGTTGATTTAAAATGAGTAGTTCACTTCAACATTTAAAATGGTTTGAACTAAACACCTTTTGATTATCAAGACATTTGTAAAAATAGTAATGACAATATAAAAAAAGTGTTCTTTCAATTGATTAGTTCCGGATACAATTAGAAAGTCTCTGGATGAGCTAATTTGTATTTCTGGATTCAAATCAATGAAATAACAGTTCCTGCCCCATGAAGGTCCTCAGGGTCATGTTTTGACCTGAGGCTTAGTTCACTACACCGTGCACACATGGATTTTCTCCGGGTGCTCCAGTTTCCTCCCACAGACCAAAAACATGCATGTTAGACTGATTAGTGACTCTAAATTGTTTCTAGGTGTAAGTGAGAGAGTGAATGGTTGTTTGTCTCGTTTGTCTCTATGTGTCCCTGTGATGGACTGGAGACTTGTTCAGGGTGCACCCCGCCCCTCGCACAGTGATTGCTGGACATGGGCACCGACAACCCACATGACCCAAAATGAAAGAAGCGGGTAAAAGATAATGGATGGATGGATTTAAGGAAATGAAGTCAATTTGTCCTCTAGTAGTCTAATTCTATAGCAGCATAAGAAGCTGACCTCAACTATAGGATTTATCAAAAAGGAAAGTCTTGATCCCAGTCTTACAACTGGACAATGTGTCAGCCCTATATGAAGTGAATGTGTCTCAATTTTCAAATTAAAATGGATTAATTTGGTAAAATAAAATAAACATAATAATAAAATGGTCGTGGGCCCGGGGCAATGGCGCTCGACTGGGGAGGTGGCTTTGGTGGTTCTGGGCGTTGACCTCTGCTGGTTGCATGCAGGCTTCTGGGCGGTCTGTACCGGCGGGCACAGGTTACTGGCCTGGCTGCTCCTGGGTGGGTTTGGGGTTCTAGGGGAGTGTTGCTCCCGGGCTGGGCTCCTGGCTTGACCAGGGGGTCTCGAGACTTGGCGGGTTTGTTGTCGGGGTCTTGGGCCGGTGCATGCGCCGGCGCCCGGCCCTGGCCTGGGGGCCCTTGGTGCACTGGTGGGCTTTGGGGCCTCTACCGTTGGGGGGGGGGGGGGGCGTTACTGTTAATGGGGGAGGATGGGCCATGGGAGGGGACGGTTGGATTCAGGCTGGAAAAAATAAAATGGATTAATAGAAATGCATTTCATTTTCAAAATTAAGCTGCATGTTTTGACTCAAATAAAATTAAAAATAAATAATCCAAACTGCATTTTCATTTTCTTCTCCAAGACTGTTCAATTTGTAAATTATTAAAATAATAAATAAAATCACATTTAAAATTTAATTTTCCAAATACTGTAAAAAGTGACCAAAATTCATTTTGATATGTCAAATTTTAAATTTTAAATGAATGAGCAGAAATGCTTTTTTCATTTCAAAGTCAAAGCTGCATTTTTTTGACTCATAAATGAAATTGCTAATAGATCATCCAAACTGTGCTTTCATTTTCATCTCCACGTTGCTCATTGTGTGACACAACTACAGAGAAAACTAAGAGGAAACTGCTTTTTGTTTTTACGCCCCACCCCCACAAAAAGTGTTCCATAAATCAATTAGAATTAATAATTCCAAGCGGCGCAGGAGAGTGACGTCAGTGGCAGCTCTTCCTCTACTGTCTCCTTATCGTTTGCTGCATCCAGGTCCTACTCGCAGTGTGAGGCAGCAGAGGAATTGAAATTGCTAATTCTAATTGATTTATGAATACTTTTTGTGGGGGTGGGGCATGAAAACAAAAAAAGCAGTTTCCTCTTAGTTTTCTCTGTACTTGTGTCACACAATGAGCAACAAGGAGATGAAAATGAAAGCACAGTTTGGATGATCTATTAGCAATTTCATTTATGAGTCAAAAATGCAGCTTTGACTTTGAAATGAACAAAGCATTTCTGCTAATTCATTTTAATTTTCAAATTTGACATTTCAAAGTTAATTTTGGTCACTTTTTACAGTATTTTGAAAATTAAATGTTAAATGTTATTTTATTGATCATTTTAATTAATTTACAAACTGAGCAGTCTTGGAGAAGAAAATGACAATGCAGTTTGGATTTAAAAAAAAAAATTACGAGTCAAAACATGCAGCTTTATTTTGAAAATGAAAAGCATTTCTATTAATCCATTTTAATTTGAAAATTAAGACACATTTGCTTCCATAGCCTTATGGACATTATCTAGAAGTTGGTTCCACAAGAGAGGGGTCTGATAACTGAAAGAACTTCCTCCTATTGCTAATAAAGCTAATGAAGTTTATGAAGGACAGTTTGTGATATTTAGAAGGTTTGAAGGAACAATATTGCTGAATATCATCAGCATAGACACATGGAAAAACGGACTTATTAATTGGCCACGGGGGAAAATATACAAAATAAAGAAAATAGGTCCTAATACTGAGCCCTGAGGTACCCCACATAACAGGCTTTTGGATTCTGACATTATCTGGTTTGCAGAAACACTAATTGTTCTACCAGAAAGATAGGAGATAAACCACTCCAGTGCCAAGCCTGACAGACCGACTACATCCCGTAGCCTGTTAATCAAAATACTGTGTTCAACACTATCAAAGGCCGTTAGGAGTAGGAGAACCATCACCGTGGATTCTCCAGAGTCAGCTAACATCAAAATATCACTAGAAACTTTAATTAAAGCAGTTTCTGTGGAGTGGAGCTTTTGAAATCCAGGCTGAAATTAATTTTGAAAAATGCTAATTTGTAAAAGTTCTCTATCTAAGGAAACCATTAGGAGCGTTGAATCTTCACTTCATCACAGTCTTCCATCTTGAGCAAGCACAATGGCAACAGTGGAAAGGAAAAACTTCCTTTTAACAGTAAGAAACTTCCAGCAGAACCAGACTCAGGACGAGCGGCCATCTACTTAGGTTGGCTGAGTTTTTCGAGGACAGGAAGTAGAAACCTACGGCAATGTGGACAGTAATGTGCTGAAATGGTCTCTCTGGAAACTTGACAGGTTGCAGTGAGGCCCGTGAAGTAATAGCAGTTTTGTCACATGCCTGACAGTTTATGATGAACTGTCAGGCATGTGACAAACTGCTATTACTATTATTGCTGATGAACTGTTACTGCTTCTATAGCAGTAACTTATCCTTCACAGAAATAAGTATTAGAAAAGAGCTGATTTTCTATTAATTCACTTTCCATCAACACAAAACCACAAGGGGCAGCTAAAACTCTGAGATCGACAATATACTGGCTCACAGCTTTATTGATATTTTGAACACTCGCTATGAATGTGTGTTTGCAGTTTAATACATTAACTTTTGGGACAAATTTTCTGTCAAATGTAGTCATGGCCTCATCAAATAGTGCACCTTACTCTGATAGTGTGTAGAACAGAGTTGAACTGAACAACCATTTTTTAAGGATGGAGGTAATTTCTTCTCATCAAATCACTACAGTATCTGTCTGAACTTGCAGGTGCATTTGTAGCCAAGATTGCACGACCTCAGAAGAGAGCAGCAGCCATCCAGTTCAGCCCACAGGCAGTGGTGGGCCAACACCAGGGCCAGACATGTCTCATGATTAGAGTGTCCAACCTGATGCACCAACCTTTGATCCACGTAAAGGTGAGTGCTGTTCTTTATGAAGAGCATGAAGGTCAAGCACTGTACCAGACTTCCCTGGACTTCTACTTGGATGATCTGGGCCAGCGGCCATGCCCATTTTTTATTTTCCCACTCACTTTTTATCACATACTGGACCGCCGGAGCCCCCTTCACCCCATCCTGTGTGAAGGCACATCCAGCCACTTTGAGTTGGTGGTCTTTCTTACAGCCATGCAGGAGGGAACTGGGGACTCCTGCCAGAAGAGAACCTCCTATCTGCGCCAAGAAATTCAGTTTGATCGGCAATTTCTGCCTGCTCTGGGACTGGATGCTCAGGGGCGGTACCTGGTGAGCACTCAGCACTTTGACACGGCCCACTCCAAGGAGCCCCTGAACAAGGACTGTGTAGTCCAGATCAATGGAGATGGGAGCGACAGGATGGAGTAAGTGTGATGAAAAAGAGCTGGTTTAAGAACTGTGGGAAATCTCTGATGCACGTCATTATTTTTGTCAGGAGATTTTTATATGAATTTTATGTAGTCCCACTAGTCTCACATTTCAGTTTGTACATCCTTAATTCATCTCCTTGGTTCCTAGTCTGTCAACTGTGAGACACTGTAAGCAAATATTAAAATGTTTTCCTTGTTTCAAATGAGACAGTTCAGAGCCACTTCAGTTCTACATGATGTTTGTTACAGCTTCATGGTGTGAATTCAAACAGAAAACAAAGAAACACATTTCAATGAGTCTGGCTTCTTACATAAAATCAGTTTGTAGGCCAATTTAATATTGAACATGGATAAATCTGGAAAGCAGGATGTTCCAGAACAAGTTTCACATCCAGAACAATTCACAGTTGGAATAGTGCACGTTAATATCAGTTTAACATGACTCATAAAAGATGGCTGAAACTAACTATTCCCTGAATGAGTGTTGACAGTTTTACCATAGTTGGAAAAGTGTTCACCACTCTTGGCATTCTTTTTATTTTGTTTCTTTCCATTGTGGAACTTAAATAAATTTTTGATTAGTTTATAAATAATAATTATACTTAAAATACATGAAATTAATAAAATTAAATGGTTTAAATGATTCTAAAAGATCTAAAACTGAAAAATGGGGCGTTCATAGGTATTCAACCCCAAAACATATTGCTATGTGTCCCAACCTTCTGCAGCCATTCCAGCATCTCCTCAGGTCTATCTCCATTATCTTGGTTCATTTAACCTGTGGATGTTTTGCCCACGCTTCATGATCAAACTGCTGTAGCTCCTTCAGGTTGGATGGTGCTGCTTGTGTTCAGCAATCTTTGAATTAAATCAGATATTCTCAGTTGGAGGTTTAGGATTTGACTGGCTCAATCCAGTATTCTGGATACTGGTTCTCCTTAAACCAGTGGAGTGTAGCTTCAGCAGTGTGTTAGGGTCATTGTTCTGCTGGAAGGTGAACCTCTTCCCCAGTCTAAAATCTCAGGAGGACTTCAACAAGTTCCTTTCAAGACATTGTTTAATTTGCTCAATCCATCTCTTCTTTAAATGTGACCAGTTTCTCAGTCCCTGCTTATGAAAGCATATCTACAGTATGATGCTGCCACCACCATGCTTCACTGTAGTGTTGGTGTTCTCAGTATGATGATTGGTGGTAGATTTATCTCAGACAAAGTATCCTGATGCATGCTCAGTAATCCAGGTAGAAAAATCTAAAAAAGTTCAATCTGGTCCTCTGGACATTCAAAAAAAAAAAAAACAAAGCAAAACAACAAAAAAATGTAGAGACATTTCGTCTCTCATCCAAGAGACTTCCTCAGTCTGAGGAGCTGTATTCAGCTCAGTCTCTTAAATAGCACCTTCTCAGAGTGGATCAACCAGTTTTGCTGCTGACAACCAAAACCAGATGCTCACATGGTCAAGAAGGACCATCAGCCTAACAATGGATCATTAGCACCTGATGGCTGTTTACTGTTCACAGAGGGCTGAGTGATACTAGCAATCACAGCATTGTAAGAGGGGGACAGTTGAATCCGGAGACTCCACCCCTGTTTAATGATGGACGGTTTCTTTTCACAAAGATGGCCTCCTTTACTCCTCTCTCAAACCATCGTTCCTGTCTGTCCAGGATGTGAACATCTTCATCCCTGAAAGAGTGACCTCTGGCCTGGAGATGAGTGTAGACCACAGAGTCCTGACCTGATGTTGCTGATCTTCTGTGCTGGTCCATCCTTTTGGCCAGTGGCTTTTTTGTTTCCCCAATGTAAGACTGATCACAGCCCTCCTGACACTGAACAACATACACAACATTACTCTGTTTGTGCCAGGGGGACTGGATCTTTGGGATGAACCAGTCTTTAATGTATTTTGGGGTTTAAAAGCCACTGGGACGTTGTGTTTAGAAAATAAACGTCTCAGTTTCTCTGATACTCCCTCAACATACAAAATGACCACTGGTCTGGGTCTGGGTTCCTCCTTTTCAACTGTTGGCTGACTGGAGTCCTGTTTGGGTTTCTTCTCTGCTTTCAGGAAGGCCCAGTTAGGATATCCACATTGCTCTAGAGCCTGTCTTGTGTGGGATTTCTCCTTCTGCCTGGCTCCTGAGTTAGTGGGGATGCTGTCTTCTCTGTGGTACAGAGTCCTGATGACTCCTAACTTGTGCTCCAAAGGGTGATGGGAGTCAAATTGCAAATACTGGTCTGTGTGGGTGGGTTTGCGATACACCTCAGTTTGCAAATGTCCTCTATCAGAGACTGAGACCTCACAGTCCAAGAAAGCCAACCTGCCATTTTTTACATCTTCTCGTGTGAACTTGATGTATTTATCCACAGAGTTGATGTGGTCAGTAAAATGTTGGACTTCCTGAGATTTAATTTTAACCCAGGTGTCGTCAACATACCTGAACCAATGACTTGGTGGTGTCCCTGAAAAGGACGTCAAGGCTCTCTTTTCTACCTCCTCCATGTACAGGTTGGCAACAATAGGAGAAACTGGAGACCCCATAGCACACCCATGTTTCTGCCTATAATATTGCTCCCCATATGTGAAGTAGGTTGACTGCAGGCACAGTTTCAAGAGTTGACACAGTTGTTCTGTGGAAAGCGTGGTCCTGCTGCTCAGAGTGGTGTCTGATTTTAATCTTAAACTGACCACCTCTACTGCATCATCAACAGGAATGCACGTAAAGAGTGATGTGACATCAAAAGAGACCATTGTTTCATCAGTCTCCATGATGACATCCCTCACCTTATCCACAAAGTCCATGGTGTTCTGTATGTGGTGTTCTGAGCTGCCAACTAAAGGGATGAGTACAGACGCCAGATATTTG